AACTGATTGAATAAAATGAAAAAAATCATCAGAATTTTTTTCTGATTCAATTTTTTTTTTTTTTTTTTTTGTTGAACATTTTGATTTTTTGGTGAAAAAAGAGAAAAAATGAGAAAAGTTCCCGGAAAATTTAATTTATGGAAATATTCTCAACTACAATATCCGTGATAATAATCATCATAATAATCATCATCATCCAGTGGTGGTGGTGGGGGTGGATGAAAAAAAAAGTAAAAAACTTACCTCGGCATAATGTTCATTATTTTCTTGTATAAGATCAACACACATTTCGGCTAAATGTGTAAGCCGTTGTAATTTAGTTGAACAATCTAATTCAGGATCTTGTGCTATTTCTGGTGATATTGTAGATATATTCCAAGGGGGAGGTTTATTCCAGAGGGGGAGGTTTATTCCAGGAGTTTTATATAGAAAAAAATTGAATAAAAACGAAACGAAACAATAAAACCATACGATGATGACGAGAGAGAGAGAGAGATAGGGAAAAATGTGAATAAAAAAAAAGTTTCACGAAAGCCGTATTTATCGTCGTCGTCGTCATTGTTGTTGTTTATTATTATTATAATGATTGTTTTGAATCAAATTAAATGGTGGATAAAAACGATTCCATTGAATAGAGAAAAACAAAAACAACAATAAAACAATGAAGAAGCGATTCCAGAAGGCAGAATGCAGAGAAGTGAAAAACATTGTAATGAGATTTTTTGCAAGTAGACAAAGAGAAAAAAGGAGAAGAGAAAAAGTTATAAATTAAATTACTTTTATTTAATCCTTGTTTTGGGATTGGAAACTCAATTTGTTTGTTTCGTTTGTTACGTTAGTTAGTATAGTCAATCAAACAAACACATACCTTCAATACAAGCTGATCTTGATATTTTACTATAATTTACATAAGCAGCACTTTCAAGGCACTTTTTAATAATACCACGTACTTCTTCTTGTGGTGCTGGTGTTAAATTATCTTTCATTAAAACACGTTCTAATAATGATAATGTTGATTTTAATGATCCTTCTGGTCGACCGAATGGAAAACAATAGCTTTTTTTTGGTTGAAAAAAATGAATGAACAAAAAAAACAGAAAAGTTATGCAAAAATATTCTGGATGCTTAATACTTACCGAAAATTTGTTATCTGATATTCCAATAAATTTTTCAATCTATCTTTTATAATCATATACATATCTTTTTCTTCGATTGTTACCGTAAATATGCCTCCGGGTCTATTTTCATTTTCATTTTTTTCGTTTTTCGAATGATAATGATGCATTAGGGAAAAAAAATGAATATGAAAAATGTGTGGGAAAAAAATGAAAGTTTTTTTTCAAACAAAAAATACCTTATATCATAGGCAACTTGTCCCATTGGTGGTGCGCTTCTACACAACACAAACATAAAGAGAGACAGAGAAAATGATTGTTAGTTTTCAATAAAACAAGTTTCACTTGTCAACCGTCATTCGAATATCCGAATATTCATCATTCACTTACATATTACCATGAACATGTGATGAACAAAATGAAAAACTAAAATGTATCAATGTTGGATCAATTAATATTCCTTTTTCAGCAAAATCTAATAGATCTTGCATATATGAAAGATGACGAAAACAACTACGTACACCATAACGTGCACCATATTCATCCAAAACGAATACCTGACCAGGTGAAAACCAACCCATTGAACAATATTGATCATTTAAACGATATATTAATGTTTCACGTTGTAATAGGCTAAACAATTGATGATGATTAAATTTACATGGATCTGCCTGTATGAATTCATCCATTCCATGTTTACGGGCACGATCAGCATCTTTATAATGTGCGAAAACAGAAAACAGAAAAATAATTCAAAATTTATTCATGCGAAATGTATGCATGAATAAATGAGGAATAAATGTTTGTTTACCTCCTTGAATCCTAGAAATTGCTGAATTTTTACAATGAACAGTTGTTTGTATTAATGGTGTTGGTTTATGTGCTTGACCAGTTGCACGATACATTGCCATTACCCATAATGCACATTCATTTTCATCATCACATGCAAATACAACACTATCACCTTCTTTGACAGCATTGAAAAAATATTTTCCTTCAGGAAGCTCTATTTTTTTTATTATTATTATTTCAAAACAAAAACAAAAACGAAAAAAAACAAGAATTTTTTGTTTAAAAAACAAACTTGAAAATGATATGTTTTGTCAAGAGAAAAAACAATGATCATCATCATCAGAAAAAACATGAAACAAAATTTTTCGTTTGGAAACTTTGTTCTTAAAGAAAACTGAAACTGATATTACCTGACACACACACACACACACACACACACACACACATCTGTCACATTTAATTTAATTCATTTTTATTAACATCATTATTTTACTTTGCAAGTAAGCAAACAAACAAACAAACAAAACTAACTAAATGACTAAATGAATGTTCTTTGTTGCCATAGTTTCAAAGAATAATGAAAAGAAGAAACAAAAAACATAATTGAAATATAGACCCTGTTAAAAAATTTTTTCATTTTTGAAATGTAATTACAAAGTTACACATTTTGTAGAAACAACATCTCTATAGATACAACAGAAGAAAAAAGCCTTATAAGTTTTTATAGAAAGTTTCAAAAAAAAAGTAATTTCTGTTGTTTACTCATTTTATTATTTGGTAATTTTGTTTCAAATCACCCAAAAACACACAATAAACCGGAATGAGAGAGATAGGGGTTAAAAAATTGGGAAATTTCTGGGAAAATTTCCTTCCCAGCCAAAAATGATTCAAAATCAAATATTTGTTCAATTTGAAAAATAGAAGAAAAAATTGAACACGAATTTTCGCAGCAAAAACGTTTAACCATATTGATTCAATTCATTCATCAATTTTATATGATTGGTTTTTGTCGATCAGGGAATTTTCATGAAATGAAATGATGAAATGAAAACCGATTTTCTTTTTTTTTCGGTATTTTGTTTTCACTCGAAAAAAAGTTTCATCAATTTTGTTTTGTTTTATGATTTTCGCTCATCCATCATTCATCTGCAGAATAGCTGCTGCTTTTTGGAAGCAAAAAGCTTGAATTTCGTTTTTTTTTGAATTTCAAAACGAAACAAAATTCAAATATTCTTTCTTCTGAAAAACAAATCTTTTCTTTTCTTTCTTTATCTGTCGTCATCACATTTTCTCTTCTGGTTGTTGTTGTTGTTGTCTAATATCCATTATCATTGTCAATGGGCGAATGATGATGATGATGATAATGGACAAATGTGTGGTGAGAGAAATGGGGGGAAAAAAAGCCATTTTCCGTCCGTTCGTTTGGAAAATCACCAAAATTTTAATGGTTTTTGATGTTCCAAAATGATGATGGTGATGTTAAAATGATGGTGATGTGATTTACTTGACAAAAAACATCATAAAAAGAAAAAAATACCTTGTATTGGTTCAATATAATCAACTGAATAACCATCCAATTGTAACATTTCAGTTGGTTCGGATTTTTTTTCTCGATAACTACACATTGCAAATGTATATTGTGATACTTGTACCAGAATGAAATAACGTTTTTTCCATTTTTTCCATAATTGTTTTCCTTGTGCCATTAATAAACCACAATGTTTCATATTTTGTGGTTTATCCATACGTAATATAATTTTTATTGATAAATCTTGATCGGCTGCATTTTTTGGTACAATCATTTTATACCATTCGGGTGTTTTTGGTGATAGCGGTGTTGGCCTAATAATAACTTTACCCAATTCTTTATCATCTAAACTTAAAATTCCTGGACTTTCAGCATATAATTTTATTTTAATTGCTGGTAATGGATATGATGTTTGAAAATCTCCTTGTGTTGCCCATCTGATGACAATGATGACAATGAAAAGTGTGAAAACAGTGTGAAAACAGTGAGAAAAAAAAAATGACAAGAAATTAAATGATAATCACATCAACTTGACAATGTAATTAAATTATTTTGAAGAAAAAAAAATTGTCCGGAAAATCCTTTCCATTAGAGATAAATGTCATCATAATTGTCAAACTTACAATGGTTTTGATGCTTCAACATGACCAGTTTGTAATTTTTCACCACTACCTTCAACTTCCATTGTACAATAAACAATACGATTGGACGGTAATGATTTTAGACCACGTACTTCCATAACAACAACTAAAAATTTTTTTAAATTTTAAATTAGTAAAAAAATAGTATTAGTAGCAGTTAACCAAAAAATTTTATTAATTAAAAATAACATCAATTTACCTTCAATAGTAAATGAAAGCATAACATCAGTTTTGGATAATGTTGATACTTCAGCATCTAATTCGACTAAACCTTCTTTAGCCAATGATGCTTGACTTCTAAATAATAATGTTGACCGTATTTTCGACCAATAAAATTTCAATGAAAAATTTTTATTAAAAAAATTCAATTTTTTCAGAAAAAAAACAAAGAGAAAGAAAAAAAACAGAATTTGAAAAATTAATCATCATTTTATTTCATTAATTCAATATTTTTTACGTGTATAAAAATTACTACGATTGAAAAACTAGTAACTACTAACTAACTAAACTTGACTACGAATGACACAAACAACTAACTACGGCAAATAAACACAAAACGAAATACAAAATGCTTTTTGGACAATCAAAGAAACAGAATCTAAGAATTTACAGAATTTACAGTGAAAGAATCAAAGAAAGAAAAACAAACCGAATCTTATTTATTTATAGTGTGTGTGTGTGCGTTATTCTGTGTAAGTAGGTAGGTAGATGTGAGAATAAAGAATCACTACAGTACAACACTCACGCATTATTGATTTGAATAAAAAAAATTCTACAAGAATTTTAATTTAAGAATTTAAAAAACAAAAAAAAAGAAAGAAAGAAAAACCACAGAAAAATCAACAAAAACCTAAACAGAATTTAGTGACAACAATTGATTGGCATGCTAAAAGATGCAAAGAAAGAAAAAATTAATAAAAAATTCCAAGCACAAGCAACGAATAAAAAAGTGAAAAAAAAGGAATCAAGCAAGCAAAATGGATAGGGATTTTTGGTTGTGGACAACCAAATCACATGACAATTTAGTGAAATTTTGGATGAAAAATGAATTTTTTTGGAACAAATAAAAAAGAAGTACATGCCTTAGAACGGATGACCGGCGGCGACTTTTTTTAAAATTTTAAAATTTTGGATTTTTTTTTGTTTGAAAAAAATTTTCATGTTGAAAACATATTGTTTGGACGTTTTTGGTTGGAATTTTCATTGAATTTATTTTTTTATTTTAAATCAAGGGCGAGAACGAGCAAGAATTTTGTTTTGTTTCAATTGAAAAAAAATTTTCAATAGAGAGAGAGAGAAAAAGCAAGCAAATTTCGGATGAATTGAAAGATTTGGATGAAGAATTTTTGAAGGAGGAGGGGGAGAAAAAATGATGTTAGAAGGAAGGAAGAGAGAGAAAAGAGAGAGAAAAAAAATCAGAATGCATTTTCATAATAAAACAAACAAACAAAAATCTTCAGAATATTTGACCTGGAAATGAAAAAAAAAACAAAATAATAATCGATAGAATCGATATCGATCATAATTTTTTTTCACCCTGATCAAACACAACTGTTTTGAGATTTTTTCGTTTTTGTTCATCTAATTTACTGTAATTTCGCGCCAATATATTTCTTATTTGAAAAAGTGCGGCTTATACAAAGATATGATTAATTTGTTTTTATTGGTAGAAAATTTTTAACCTTTTACTAAACTGAACTAAGAGTCAATCAAGTCATCAACCTAACCTAATGCGGCTTATATAGCTTATTAGAACTATGAAATTACGGTAATAAATATTTCTGTCAATAAATGATTGAAAGAAAGAAAGCCCCAGTTAATTACAAGTGTACACGCACCAACAAAAAACCTTTAATGATGAAAAATTATCTTTATTTCAACAACGTATAAATTATGTTTTTATTATTATAATCAGAATCAGATATAGCCATTATACTTACTTATTATTATAACGTTTTAATTTTTGTAAACCATAACGGCTATCTGTACTACTTTTTGATATTGGTAAACTTTCCAGATTGGCCATTAATTGATTAATTGATGAATGTACTTCATCCGTATAAAGACTTTCCATTTCTTTTAGGACAAATTTTGGCAATAATTTACGATTCTATTCAAGAAAAAAAAAATGGTAAAGAATTTTATTTACAATCAAACAAAAACCAAAAACAAAATTCTGGAATAGGAAAAAAAACAGAAATTCTTGCATACCATTTATTCATTCATTCAGAATAATAATCATCAAGAATTTTTCCAAGTAAAAAAAACTAAAACTATAGAAATTGAATGAACAGCAGAGCACTGCATACTTCAATTTGTTTTTCAAGAATTATGAAGATGAATTTTTTTTTCTTTCCAAAACAAAAGAAAAAATTTGTTCAACATTTTTTTTTCAATGGAAATTCTTCCCTGTTTGATTCAAACGAACCAGAATATAAAATATCCACGAGAGTGAAAACAAAAAAAAAATTCCATGGAAATTTCTTTTTGGATTGGAAATTTTTCTGGAATTTCTCACCCTTTTTTCTCGTTTCATTCGTGGATAATTCTTCGAAATAAAAGAAACCTTATACAATTCTTTCTCATTTGTTTAATGAGATTTTCTTGCATTCATTTCACACAAACATCTAAGACGCTTTTGTAAAATCTATGTAGACATGATGATGATTGTTAATAATAAAAAATGTTGTATTTATAAACTTTCGATAAAATTGATTAATCTCTTTTTTTTGTTGGCTATTTTTAGTTGCTAAGATTTTTTTTTGTCGTTTTGGGTGGAAATAGGTGGGGGAAAAACTAAACTTTACAAACAACAATCTACCCACATAGATCATAAATTATAATGTTATTTTTTTTAACAAAATAGAAAAATTGACAACCAAATCATTATTGTTTGTTTGTTTGTTGTCATAACAAACAAAACAAACTTACTTTTTCCATTTCTGCACATTTTTGTATACGGCCATCTAATTCACGACGAATTGCTGCTGTTTGTTCATCGGCTGAATCAAGCTAAATGGGATGGATGGATGAAAATAGAAACAAAAAAAAAATTTAAAAATAAAACCACGAATGAGTTGAAATAGGGATAATAATAATGATGATGAAAGGGGGAAATTGAAAAAAAATTCTTGGAAAAATTCTTGGAAGGGGAAATGAAAAAAAAATTCTGAGGAAAATTCTCTATTGGTGACCATAGTGATTTTCTTTTTTTCGTATTTGATCCCAAATGTAGATAAAAATTTTTCTTGAAAGATTTGTTGCTAATCGACAACTTTTTATCCCCTTTGTTTTGCTGATTAGTTAGTAACAAGTTTCAATATGTTTTGGTTGTTTGGTAACCAAAATACTAATACTAATTATTATTATTATTATTATTATTATTCTGTAACTATGAATTAACAAACAATAACAGCAACAATGGGAAAAAAATATATTAAGGTTGATATCGAGTATCGAGTGGTGATGGTGTTAATGTGTAAATTGTGGGCGAAAATATTGTTTGTGTAAAAACAACCTAATTTATGTATGTGTTTGGCGACCAAAAAAAAACATAAACATAAATTAAATTCCACACGAAAGAGAGATACTTGTACCAACAACGAACAAAGTTATTCGTTGTTTACCAGATGGAAAAACAAAACAAAGCAAAAATATTCTATATGTTTCTATGCACAATGAAAATATTGATTTTCGATTCATTTTTCAATGAATCAATTTTGTTTGGTTTTTTTTTGGTTTGTAAATGTCATTTTGTAAAAAAAGTTTTTTTTCCGGTAGTAAATATATTTATATTAGGCTTGTTGTTGTTTACCTGTCAACTGAAAATGAACGAAAAAAAATAAACCTAAACCTGAATCTGACGGGGACGAAAGTTTCATTTTGAATAAATAAGAAACGGAAACATAAAGCAAAAACTTACTTGTAATGCATTATATAATAATTGATGTTCAAATTTTTTTATTTTCAAAATATTCTGAAACATATCATAAAGTTGTTCTTTACTTAGTATCATTTCGGAACTTAGATTCAATAGTCGTCCTTTAGCTGTAAGATTAATATTTTTTGTTGAATTCAATTTATTTGTTGATCCTGATCCGGTATTTCCTGATGATGAAATCATTGATGAATCTGAATCAATATTTGTACAATCAATAATACTACGAAATATTTGATCAAATTTCGTCAACCATTGACTTATGATTAATTCTTTGGTAATTCCTTCGGATTCCGGTAAACTACGTACACGTTTTTCAATATTTCGACGAAATACTTCACGAAAATCTTGTGTTGAACAAGCACCACTAACAACCAACATATGTAAACGATTACTACGTAAAAATGCATCAAAATAATTTTGTATAGCATGTGTAAATGAATCATCTGTTTGAATATTTAATTCACCATTCAAAAATGATTGAAAACGATTAATAATTTGTTCCAATTGATGAATGGTAATTTTTAATTCTCTTTTATTTAAATCTGGTTGTTTTGCATTAAATGGATATGCTATACAACGTAAAACAAAAACATAAAGTTGTAATTTTGTTTTCCTTTCCATTTCTTCACGTTCAGCTTTTTCATCATCATTTTCATATTGTTCAAGCTCATTATTATTTTGATTTTGATTTGATGATGATGGTGATTCTATTAAACGTTCAGGTGGATTTGGACTTGTAGCACGCATTTGTGCTAATGAAGCTCTTATTGGTAATAATAATTTATCATTTGATGATGGTTGTTGTTGATTTGAATTTTGTTGTTGTTGTTGTTGTTGATAATGATAATTTGTTTTTTGTTGTTGTTGTTGAGCATTTGGTTCAATACAAGGCGATATACTTCGATAATGATTATTATTATTACAATAATTTGTTGTTGTTGTGGACAATTGTTGTTGTTGATGAGGATTAAGATAAATATTGGGCGTTGAATGACGCCCACCACCACCGCTACCACCTCCACTACCACCGCCATTAACACCACCACCATCAGATAATCTTGATGATGATATAGCACTTGATGTATCATTATTATTATTGATATTATCATTATCAGCAATAGTTATGGTTGTTGTTGTTTCATTTTCATCTTCGGATGATGATGGTTCAAGCATTTTTGAAAAAAAATTGAATGTTTGCTTGTTTGGTTTTAACCAAAGATAAAGCAATTATCGATAAGGAAATCTGTTAACAGAGAATTTAATTTAATAATGATGATCTCATCACATATTTTTTTCCAGAAAATAAAGTTGTCGTCATTGAGGGTTAAAAAATCTATTTATATCGATATATGAAAAGGATTAGAAACAAAAGAGAAACAAGAAAGAATTAAAAAAATTGGATGAAATTGAATTTAAATTTTTTTGGTTGAAAAGTTCACAACCCACACACACACACACAGACAGACATCGTAATTGATTTTAAATCCTCAATAAAGATTTTAAAAAAACGAATCTTGTGTATATACAACATACACAAATCTACCGACAGCCATCGACCGGGTAATAAATTCTTTCGTTTCGGTCGATTGACGAAAAAAAACCAAGAATTTTCAGCAGAAACAAAAAATACAGTCGAATGTGGATGTTTGTTTGGTGGAATAATGTTTTATTCATATTGGTGAAAGAAGAGAGAAAAAGAAATTTATTGTTTTTTTCTTGTTCCCGGTCTACAAATTCATCACATTTTTTTTTTTTTTTTTTTTTTGTTCATTCGGCAACGAACGGAAAATCGAATTGAAAAATCGAATGGATAGCAAAAAATTGAAAAATTTTGCTTGAATAAACAGAAAATGTTTTCAATTGAAAAATTATCAAATTTACAAAAATGAAATGAAATTTTCTGTGTTGGAATCCCACAAAAGGTTGACTTTTTTCGGGGGAAATTTCTTGCTGGGGAAATTTCTTTTGAAAAACCCATAGAACAGAGAAAATGCAATGCAGTAAAGCTAACATTTTTTTTTTCATTTTCTATGGAAAATTTTTAAAATTTAAAATTTTAATTTTTCTTTCTTACCACATAAACAAACAAACAAACAAACGAACGATCATCATCACTGACTGTCAATCAAAATTTTTAAAATTTATTTTAAAATTTAAATGAGGCAATATTTAAATGAGGTAATGAGATGAGGGAAAAAATTTCCCGGAAATTTTTTCCAAAACGAAAATTAATTTTCATGAGCAAAAAAAAAAACTTTATCACCATCATCATTATGGGATCGATAAAGAGTTTTTTTCCTCACCACTCCACTCTTCCTCTTTTCACTCAATGAATTTGAAATTCATTATTATTTGATGATGTCATCGATGATGATGATGATGATGATGATGGATCGATGATTGAATTTTAATCATAAGAATCGAAAGAATTATGTTTTGGGCTCGCACGAATGTTTGAATTTTTTTTCTGGTGGTAGCCATTTTGGCTACTGTTTTCACTTCAACTAAATCAAATTTGATTTTTTGGCCAAACGAAAAACAACATTCAAAGAAAAAAAATCGAACCAAACCCATCATTGATTGTTGCCGGTTCTCCATTTGGAACACTAATTTTCGGCTTCTTTTTTTTACGTATGCTATTTACTGTGATGTGTGCGTGTGCACGACACGACATGACATAAAACACGACAGGAATCACATTTGCAGATTTTTCTTTTTTTGCTTTCTTTCTTGAAGAAATGGAAATAGGAAAACATTTTTGCATGATTTCATTTCAAATAAACATTTTTATTTATTTCGCCAAAACTAAAATAAAGTTTAGAGATACGCAGCAAATAAACACACAGTTGGTGCCCGGGAACCAGAGAAAAAACAACAACAACAACAACCAGCCAGAATAACCAGAATAATAAAAAAAGCCTATTTTTTTGTATGTGTCTATTTTTATATATTTAGAGTGAGTGAGAGAAAATGTTGCAATTACATTTCACTGAGACTATGAATGATAATAATAATAATAAAAAACCTACATGACCACCAAGGGGAGAGAAAAACAGAATCGAGAATCAACGAATTTTGACAATCCAGAATTTTGCCAGAAGAATATTTCTTTCCTATATATATAGGATAATGTGTGTTTGGTATACACGGGATACTGATATATGTTATATTTATAAGCAAAAAAAGGGTCATTCACAAATTCAATATGAAAGTTATAAGTAACCAACAAAAAAAAACAACAAGCAAAACTTTTTTTGAACGCATTTTGAATAACAAAATAAACAAAAAACATAATTATTACCAACCTAGGTTAGGTTAGATGATGAAATAAAAGTTTCAAACGAAGAAAATCTTATGCAAAACAGGATTCAATGTCGTTTGGTTTGGTTCGGTGTCAGCGAAAAAAAAATTGACACAAACATTTTGAAATTTGAAACTTTTTTGTTTGTTTGTTTGAACGAAATTCTGTGTTCAATCAATCAATCAAACTGAAACTTTTCTCCTGTTTTTTTTTCGGGCTACAATCATCTTCAATTATACATAATTAAATTATCAAAATTCTTGATATTTTTCCTTTCATTTTGTCATCATCATTGATAGAATTTTTATTACCATTTTCACAAATGTTCAACAAAACTAACCAGGCAACCAGATGAAAATTTTTCCTATTTTTTCCCCTTTTATTATCATCACAACGACAACAACAACAACAACAGTTAATGACTTTTTGGAGTTACAATGTGATAACGGCGATGAATGAGAATATTTTCATCTTGGTGGTCATCATTATTATCAAGTTACTATTATTATGTGAACAAAATGAAACAAAAAAAAATCGATAACCAAAATAAACTGAGCAAACAAAACTGAATTGGATAGATGTGTTTTGATTGATGCTACCATGATGATGATGATGATGATTGAAGATGGCATTTCTTGGGGTGGGGGAGGAGGAGGAAAGATAATATTCAAAAAAAAACACTTGATCGAAATCAAACAAATGAATGACCGGATAAGAATTTTTATTTTTCAAAATTTTCGTTTTCTTGTTTTCTTTTTGAGAAAACTCAATGTGAAAAAAAATGAAATGAAATTTGTATTCAACAACAACAACAATAGAAAAAGAATACATTTGGGACCTTTGTTTGTTTGTTTTGTTCGACACTTTTCATTTCATTTTTCGTTTTTTTTGTTGTTGGATGAAAATTGTCACTTTTGGAATTATGGTATCAAATTTTTATTTGTTTAGAAGCAAACAAAAAAAAAGTACAGAATCAAGAGATTCTGTGTGTGTGTATGTGTGTGCACAGAATTTTCGGCAATTGCACAGAAAGAATCAGAATTTTATTCTTTTTTTTTTTTGATAATTCTGATTCTGATGACGCAAATCATCATTATTATTATTATTATAGCGATTTTCATTTTCTTTTCTTTTTCTCTAAACGTTTTTCTCATTCATTCTCTCATTCACTTTCAATGATCAGTGATTAAATTTTTTTTCATTTTCATTCTTTACTTTATATATTCATTTACCATGTGAATTTGTCAATTTGATCGATTCCGGTGTTCATTATGATTATGTAATAATTCTGAATTTTGATATCGGTGAAAAAAATCGGATATCATTCACACGGGGTTAAAAAAAATTGTTTCATGATGAGTACCGGATGAATCTTGTCGAAATGGAAAGAACCAACCAACAGCCATCATTATTATTATTTAAAAAAAATAATAATAATAACGACAAATAATAAACGTAAAGTGTTTTTCACTGTTTTCACTTCAAACTAAAAAAACAGAATTTGTCAACGACAACAACAGCAACAAAAGAATGAAACGAAATTCTACATTTGAAGAATTGCTGAATTGCAAACAAAAAGCAGGGACAAAAAGAAAAATTTCATTTTACAAAAGAAGAATGGAAAAATTCTTTTTCGTTTTTTCTATTTGATGGGCTATACAAAAAAAATACAGTGAATTTCCTTTTGAATTCTTTTTCCTCTTCGTTATTTTTTCTCCTGAATCAATCCTGTTATTGCCTTTTCAAAATCTCATTATAATTATAATTTTATTCAAAGAAATATGAAATATGAAATGAAACGAACAACATTCAACTTTTTCTTCTCCATATAAAATGATAAACGAGGCAATGAAGAAAGAAAGAAATGTAGAAAATCATCAAAGAATCATTAGTATTCATATTGTTTGTTGGTAGTTGTGGTGATGATGAAAGTAATTGGCAAAAAAAAAACAATCCCCCAATTTGAACCAGGGGTTAAAAACCAAAATGATTTGTGACATCATCATCATCATTGTTGTTGTGGTTGTGGTTGTCAACCAGCCAATCAAACAAGAAAATTTGAATAAAATTATTCGAGAAACTAAAAAAAAGGGTAAATAAAAGAGAGAAGGATGCGGTGAGAAAAGAGAAAAAATTTTGACTTTTTTTCCCAAAAATATAAGGAGGAGGGTGTGGGAAAAATTTCAAAAAAACCGAAAAAAAATTAACCATGAATGACAACCACCAAGTGAGTAATAAGAAAGGAAAAAGAATTTGTGGTTTTTCTTCTGTAATGGGAAACAAATTGGATTGTTTTTTCTTTTCGTTTAAAAATAATTTTCAACATTTTCCCTCGTTTCAATCAGTCAGTCAGTCAGTCAGCCGACTATTTTCTTAATTGGATTCCATTGAATGAATGAAGAAAGAAGACAATCAATGGGTTGTTGTTTTGGGGGCCTGAATTTGATTATCCAAAATAGAAAAGCGGGAACCAAAAAAAGAAAAAATTAATAACAGGGAATTTTCATTCATTCAATGACTTTCTCTCTATGTGTGTGTGTATTGGACATCTTTTTGTCGTCCATCAACCATTATCGTTTATTTCAAGAAAATTTTTTTATTAAAAAAAACATATTGTTCCCACAAACAAACACAATGGAAAAATGAATGAAAAGAAAAGAAAATGATAAGGAATTTCAAATTTATCATCTTTAGAAATTATTTTCCTGTAATTTCATTCAACAATGACGACGACAAGATGCTAAATAAAGGGAGAGAAAAGTCAGAAGAATCTTTACTTAGGTGTGTTCTTTACTGTAAGGAAGGTTGAGGACAATGGAAGAATATTCTGTGTGTGTGAGAGAGAGAATGAAAGAAAAAAATCGATTCTATTCAGCTCAATTAATAATGATGATGATGCAACAACAACAAAACCAGAATCATTCTTTGAACAATAAAACAAGAATGATGATGAT